CTTGAGGTGGCCTTAGGCAGGGTGGGGCCCTGAGGGCCTAGTGGTTCCCTTTCCTGGCCTCAGTGTCCTGTGTTACCCACCATGTCCCACCCTGGGGATGGAGAGTGAGGCTCTGGGCACTGCAGGGAAGCCAAGGCCCAAAGAGCAGGGGCTTACCCATGCTGCCCCAGCTTCCAGGAAGGGGAGCTGGCCTGGAACCCCCACATGGCCCCTATCCCATGCCCTTCATATACCCAGTACCCCCACGATGTCATGACAGGTCTGGTAAGGTTGGGGCTCCGGCAAGAGTCCCCAGAGTGGATGTGTGGGCAGGGGTGGGCCAGACAGATATCTGGGGTGCAGAGTGATGGGACCTGTGAGCGCAGGTTGGTATCTGAGTGGCAATGAGGTGGATCCTGGGGGCAAGGCCCCATTTGGCTGAGGATAGAGCTGTGAGAGAGAAAAGGCTTCCTTCCTTGCTTGGTTGGGGAGCAGGGGCTTGGGGGAGACTGGGTTCTGGGCACTGACACCTTGCCCATGATGGGTTTCAAAGATGTGGAAGCTGAAGTTGTGGCTTTCTTGAGGGGTTCTAGGGCCCAGAAATGGTAGGCAGGAGGTAGGGGTGCACTTTGACAGCTCCTGGCTTCCTCCCACCTCCTCTGCTTGGCACAGCCAAACCCAGGATACCATCCTTGCCTCCAAGAGCCAGGGCCTGGGTGGAGCCACCTTCCAGGAGGGCAGGGGGAGGCCCAGGAGGAAGCCAGGAGCGGCTAGGGCAGAGCAGGTACAGCCTCAGGAGCCTGCAGGACTGCTACCTGAGTCAAGGTAAGATCGAGCTCAGCGGGGACAGGCTTGCTCAGGACCCAGGGCATACTGGCCAGAGCTGCAGTCAGACCCATGTCCTGTGGACTGGCTCCCTGTCTCCTCAGGGGCTGGTCCCTGAAGCCACACCACCCACCTTGGGACAGGAAACACACTGTCCTTGGGACAGGCAGCACCCTGTGGGATGGGGGCACATACCCCATGATCTACAGCTGTGGGGGCTCTACCCTGGGGTGATGACCAGGCACAGACTGGGCCCTTGAAACCTTGAGGTCTCCTGGTGTAGCTTGGGGGACACCCACACCCCTGCCACCAGCAGTATTTCACACAAGGGAAGTTGTCCCTGGAGCCAGGCCCGTGTGCAGAATTGCTGTCTGATCGGCACTGTTTCTTCTTTGAGCATTTAGTACCATTCAGGGGGCTGGGGCCTGGAGTCTTGTTTGTGGGAAGGTTTTGTTTTTCTGCGTTGCAATAAAAATTTATTCACATAACCAGGCAGTGGGCTGGGTTAAGTCCCCTGTAATTTACTGATTTCCTATCTCTTAAGAAATAAACATTGTACCTGTCATAACGAAGGCACTTTGAGTCATAAAACACCATTCAGAAAATCTTTAGAGCCAGTTAACAAAGAGATCGCTGGGCCGGATCAGCAGTGTTGCTCTCCAGGCAGGTGAAGTTTCTACCCATCAGCTGAGAGCTTGCTGCTTACACAGGCTTTTCCATCTTTAATGTCTGTGTCTTTTTGTGTAGCACTGTTTCATGACTGGTCTCAGTCTTCAATCTTCGAATTTCTTGGCATGAGGCTTATCATTTCTCTGTTTTGATTCTATGTAGAATTTTAAAGTTTTTATTGAGAAAAGGTGCAAATCATGAAACACCGAGGGCCCAGCACCCTGGGTGAGAAGCAGTCCCTTCTCCCGCAGGTGCCTCCCTGTCCCCTGGGCTGCTGCTGCATCCAAAGTGGTCCTGACAGTCCAGCCCCCACTCAGGACAGGTGTTCCAGCTGCCCACATCCCTGGCCCTGCAGGGTGGCCCTCCTGGGGGAGCACACTGGATACTCTTTCGGATCTGTGTGACGGAGCATTGAGTGCTGTTCGCATGTTAACTGTCCCTGTGTGCTCTTGTGTGTGCTCTTGACTTGAGCACCCTTTCCAACATTTTCTTGATAGTTTTTCTACTTTCTGTGTGTGTGTGTGTGTGTGTGTGTGTGTGTGTGTGTGTGTGTTTCTGGAAATCAAACTCAGGGCTTACAAGGCTAGGCAAGGAAGTGCTGTACCACCATGCTGTGCTCGAGCCCTGTCATTTCTGTTCATCTTCTGGAAGCTTTACTACTGACCTCTGACCCATAGTGAGCCAGAATTTCTGGGGCAAGGCACTGGTTTCCTGAGTGCCCAGCAGGGCTTCCACCAGTCACAGAGAGTGTCAGTTTCCCACAGCTTACACATGTGGGCTCTGTGTCTGTGCTATCTGTGCTGCTGGTTTTAATGTACATTTCCCCGGTGACAAAACATGTTGGCCACTTGTCTTGTGCTTATTGGCTGTTTATAGGTCTTGTTTTGTGAAGTATCTATTCAAATCTTTCATTCGTTTTGTGTTTTTGAGATAGGATCTTGCTATGTAATTCAGGGTGGGCTTAAACTCACTAAGTAGCCAAAGGAAGCCTCAAATGCATGGCTATCCTCCTGCCTCAGCCTCCTGAGTGCTGGAATTGCAGGTGTGGGCCACCATGCCCATCCTCAAATCTTTCATCTTTACTTGTGGGTTTTTAAACTAATATATTAACATGAAATACTTAATTATATATATGATATATATCTGTGGCATATATGTGTTTATTACATACATTTTAATATTGTATGTTAGTTCCACTATGGAATCATCGGTTACACGTGTTGCTGTTTTTAGGTGCTCCTATTATGGGTGATGTTATGCATCTTTTATCCCTCAGTGACACACGTTCTGTAAGCATCATACAGAGCTTGATCTGTGATTCCTGTCACCCTGGCCCCAACCTTCACACTCTAATTTTTGAGTGCTTTTCTTCTCCGTCTATTAACTTCTAAGTATTCCTGTCTTGTACACTAAATTGCCTCTTTTTACAACTTTGTAGAGGTATACCTTGCTCGCACTAAAGCCCACCTCTTGTAAATATGCAGTTCAGTCTCTTATGGTGAGTTACAGCATTTGTGTAGCACCCCTAGTCGGCCTGCACCCTCCCCTTGTCCTGAGGACCCCATCCTGGGAGGTTGGCCTCAGCCCAACCCTGGCCCCGGGCAACATGAGCCCAGTTCTGGTGAAACAGCCTTGGATCCCACACTATCTCCTGATCTCCTCTCCAACCACTCCCTTCGCCTCTTCTTGTCATGTATGTGTCATGTCTGCACATGTCATGGCCCCCGTGACACAGGGCTAGAAGCCCTGCCGTACAAGGGTTCACATGGACAGCTGAGCCCCAGCCCAATCCCTCCTCTGTCCCTGAGGCTTGGGATGCAGTGGTTTTTATAGCAGGGATGAGGACCACTGGGTTTTTCTTCAGCAGTTTGCCTGTGGTTGATTTGTGCCATCTTGGGTCCCTGCAGCAACTGGAGAAAAGCAGGGTAGCCCTGTCAGAGCTGGACCCATCCTGAGTGATGCATGCCATCCTAGTTTGTACATGGACACCCTCAGCATCTGTACTGTGACGAAGCCCCAGGTGTCTCTGGGGTGATGTCCTCCACATTTGCCCACCTGTGCTTCTCCCTTATGCTTCTTCTGGGGACTTGGGGCTGAGCATCTGGGCACTCAGCCATTTCCATGAGCAGCGGCTCTGCTCGATGCTGTTCCTGTGGCAATGTCCTGCTTCTGCTTTTGTTTTGAAGGACAGTTTGCTGGATGTCATGTTCTTGGTGCACACTTTCTCCCTTCAGAGAGTCAACTGTGTCCTTCCCCCATTGGAGAAGCCAGTGTCCTGCACTCCCGTGCCTTGCTATGGGTGGCCCCTCGCATGTGCTGTCTGGGTGAGGGTTTCAGTGTTGGCCTGGTTTGTAGACCTTCCTGGGTCTCAGGTTGTTTACAGCTATTACTTCTCAAATGTTTTTCTGCCTCTTTCTCTAATGTTTCAGTCTCCCCTCAGAGCTCTGAGAGTCTACTCATTTTCCTTTAATCTTTGCCCTCTGTTCTTCACCTGATAATTTCTATTAGTCCACAAGTTTTTGGATTGTTCTTCTGGCATCCCAAATCTGCAGGTGAACCTTTCTATTAAATATCAACTTGAGAATCTTCACTTGACTTAATGAGCTTGTCCTTCCTCTCTCCCTCCCTCCCTCCCTCCCTTCTTTCCTTCCTTCCTCCCTTCCTTCTCTCTTTCCCCTTCCTTACCTCTCCCTTCTCCTTTCTGTGGTGCTTGGCATTGAACCTTCACACCCAGCCGCATTATTTTGAGATAGAGTCCCACTAAATTACTAAATTGTCCAGGCTGGGCTTGAAATTGTGGTCCTCCTGCCTCAGTCTTCCACACAGCTGAGGTTATAGGTGTATACCACCATGACCAGCCAGGTTCTATTTCTGTATGAGAGTCTATTTTTGTTGACCACTGTCATCTTATTTTCCACTAACTTTTTAGACTAGTTTTCCAACAAACTTTGATGGTTACTTTGAGGTCTGTTATACCCAACTTCTGCGTCTTCAGACAGTTTCTGTTAGCTCCTTGCTCCTGGTATGGACCAGACTGTCTGGTTTCTCTGTGTCTTGGGATTTGTCATTGAGTGCTGGGCGACAGCAGCGATTCACTGCAGCAACTCTGAGTTCTCACTTCACACCTGGGTGTGGTTGTTTGTGTGTCGGTTCAGTAACCCCTGAGACTTAATCTGCGCAGTTTGTGCCTGTCTGAGCTCCCAGCCCCAACCCCAGCCACCAGGCTGACCCAGCTTCCCCTGCCCAGCAGCTCAGCCCTGTGCCAGCTCAGTCCTGCAGGTCTGTACAGCCCCAGTCCTCTGATGTCCCCACCTGCCATCTCCACTCATCAGCGCCTCTCTTCCTGCAGTGTCCGGCAGCCAGCTGCAGCCAGAAGAGCCAGATGCAGAGACTGAAGAGGACACCTCTGTACGTGACCCCTCCTCAGATGCCTGCCCATTCTCCCTGCGGAAATGGCAGCACCTTGGGGGCTGCAGATGACTGGTTCTCTCCTCCCAACAGGTGACGGAGAGGCCATCGGGGGAGGTCATCCGGCCCCGGCCCCAGGGCTCCTCCCCAGTCTACGAGTGTCCAGCAGAGGGTGCAGGCTTCAGAGTGCAGGTGAGCCCTGAGCTGGAGTGCTGGAGAACTGTGTGCCTCCCAGTGCCCTCTCTGCTGCTTGGTGTCATGAGCGTCCATCCTTCTGCTTGGCGACCCAGTCCCATGTGGCATAGTGTGGGGTACCTGGCACAGTGCTGTGTGTACACCCCTGTAGGCCTCCTCTACTTGCTCGGGGAGGGGGTGTGGCAGGGGCAACCCCATGCCATTCAGGGTGGCAACTCTGCCCTGGGCAGGGTGAGGTAACTCCCAACCTCTGTGGCTGCAGAAAGACACCCCCAGCAGGCGAGGGTCCTCAGGGAGACGGACATCTTGGTGGAAGCGGGGTTCAGGGGATGCACAGACCTTCTCCACCATGAGTCACCCAGAGGTAGGTGTGCTGGGAGGGGTGGTGAGGGGCAAGAGGAGAAGGAGGCTGAGGAGGTGTAGGATTCAGGGAGCTGCCTTCCACTGGGGGGCAGACCCTTCCTGGGGTCTGGGGTCACAGACCTCAGCTGTCCTACCAATGCCCAGGCTAAGGGGCAGGAAGGTGCCAAGCTCTGTAGTGCCCAGTTTGGGCTCACTGCCTCTAGGGCCAGGTGCTTCCCTTTGTGCTTTTGTCCCTTTTTGGCTTGGGACCAGTGCCCTGTGATGAAGGAGTCTTTGGCTGTGCTGGCGGCCAGAGATGGGCTGTTCCTGGGCCCCCAAAGGTGGGAAGGGACAAGAAGAGGCAGGTCCCACCTGCACCTGCCTGCAGCTGTCCTCCTCCAGCCTGGGCCCCCTGGCCTGTGTTCCCACTTCTGCGAAGGGTGACAGGAGGATAGTGCTGTCCCTGTCCTTGGAGGCCACTGCCCCATCAGGGATGCCCACAGAGACAGCACATGCTCACCATGGCCCTGGTGTACTTCTGCCCCAGTCTGTGCAGGAGGCGATGGAGGTGATGTTCAAGACGGAGGTGGAGGCGGGAGCCAGCGGCTACAGCGTCACAGGTGGTGGAGACCAGGGGATCTTTGTCAAGCAAGTGCTGAAGGACTCCTCTGCGGCCAAGCTCTTTAGCCTGAGAGAAGGTGTCTGGCTGCCCGATCCCTGGGTCTTCACCCTTGGCAGTGGAATGGGAGGGAATGATAGGGCACCTGGAGCCTGGGGGCACCACCTCTCCACCTAGCTCCTCGGGCACAGGCTACCCACTGCGGCCTCCTCGGGCACAGGCTACCCACTGCGGCCGGGCTTTCTTGCCTCAGGTGCAGGGGCCCTGATGCTTCCGACCTGGGGAGAGGGGACTGAGCTGGGGCTCCCATTCTCCCTCCAGGTGACCAGCTGCTCAGTGCCACCATATTCTTTGATGACATTAAGTATGAAGATGCACTCAAGATCCTGCAGTACTCAGAGCCATACAAGGTGCAGTTCCAGATCAAACGGCAACTCCATGCTGCCAAGGACCAGCAGGTGAGGCTGTATAGAGAGGGGCCCTGCTCAGGCTGCCTCTCCCCGTGCCCATGGTCCCAACAGGTCTTCTCTCCCCATGTTGCAGGACAAAGAGGCTGCAGAACGGTGTGCAGAGATACCCACAAAGGCCCTGGAGGAGGATGGAGACCGGGAAAGGCTCATTGCCAAGCCCAGGGAGGCCCGAGGCAGGAGGCCCCGGGAGAGGCTCTCCTGGCCCAAGTTCCAAGGCATGAAGGGCAAGCAGGGGCCAGGGCCCCGGCGCTCACATAGCTCCTCTGAGGCCTATGAGCGTGGGGGTGCACGGGAAGTGTCCCCCACCAGCACAGACACAGAGTTCCAGTTCCCAGCTGAGGACTGGGAGCAGAAGGCAGGGACAGGTGGTCAGAGGAGGAGGAGAAGGTTTCTGAACCTGAGGTTCAAGATGGGCTCCAGGCCGGAGCGGACTGCCACAGGGTACCTGGACCGAGAGGCACTTGGTGGACTGGAAACAGGCAGCATGCTGGAGGAGAAGCCAGAGGACACAGGGACTACACCGAGTGGCAGGAGCCAGGAGAAGGTACGGATGCAAGAGGCCAGGCAAGCGTTGACCACGCAGCAGGCCACGGAGCTCAGCTTCACTGGAAAAGGGGAACAAGACACAGCCAGGCCACAAAGGAAGATGAAGCAGCTGAAAGCCAGAGAGGAGATAACCACATACATAAAAGCCAGAGCCCTGCCAGCCCCAGGAGGGAGCAAGGACCAAGAATGGGAGGAAAGCCTAGAAAATGGATTCATGACTATGTCTCCCCAAGACACAACAGTCACAGCAGGGACACAGGAAAAATCCCAAGAAATCCAGGTCCGAATACACGAACTAAAGATCCCCAAGTTTACATTTCCTGGGGAAAAAGTACAGGAGATTGGAGAAGAGATTGGAGAAAAGATTGGAGGACTGCAGCAGACCAGGCCAGTGACATTTACAGCCCAGGATGGACACAAGGCAGAGAAAGAAGCAGAAACTAATGGACAGCAAGCACAACAACAAACAGTACCAGGAGAAGAAAAACATGAGATCTCAAAACTGAGGGGAAAACAGAGAGACGAAGGTGAAGAGACACAGAAAGAATGGGGGAAAGAAAAGACTAAATTACCAATGACAAAAAGCCCAGAATTTGGGTGGTCAGAAAAAAAGGAAGGAACAACAGAGAGAAGAAAGGACACTACAGGAAAACAAAAACAAAAAATAACATACAGAGAAAAAGAGGAGACAAGCAAGAGTAGAAGGGTGGACTTGCAGGGACTCGAGGTGGACATCAAGGGTGTCACACCGGAGATGAAAGGCTCGAAGCATGAGGTGGGCACATCCCAGGTGTCACTGGCCAGCATGGAGGTGGACGCCCAGGCTGCTGGCGGCAAACTGGAGAGCGTAGAGGCAGCCAAAGACAGCAAGTTTAAGATGCCCAAGTTCAAAATGCCCTCCTTTGGCATATCGACCTCTGCAAAGTCAACTAAGGCTTCCCTGGAGGTGTCCACTCCCAAATTAGAGACTGACGTGATTCTGCCCACCATCCAAAGTGAACTAAAAATGCCTGAGGTCAGTGCTCAGCTGCCCTGCCCTGAAGTGGACCTGCAGGCCAGCCAGGTGGAAATGAAGCTTCCCGAGGACGAGCTAACCACCAGGGGTGGAGGCCTGAAAGGGCAGGTGCCCAAGGTGCAGATAGGTAGCATCAAGATGCCCAAAGTGGACCTCAAAAGCCCACAGGTGAACATCAAGGGTCCCAGAGTGGAGTTGAAAGGACCCAAGGGCAAGGTGGGTGATCCTGAGCTGGAGGTGTCACTGCCCAGTGAGGAAGTGGACATCCAGGCTGCCGGTGGCAAGCTAGAAGGTGAAGTGGAGGCCAAAGAGAGCAAGTTCAAGATTCCCAAGTTCAAGATGCCGTCCTTTGGCATGTCAGCAACTGGCAAGATGCTCGAGTCCTCGCTGGAGGTCTCCACACCCAAGCTGGAGGCAGACATGGACCTACCCACCATCCAGGGTGAAGTGAAGACCCCTGAGGTCAGCATTCAGCTGCCTTCCACTGATACAGACCTGCAGGCCAGCCAGGGTGGTGTGAAGGTGCCCAAAGCAGAGCTGTCCACCAGGCATCCAGACCTCAAAGGGCACCTGCACAAGGTGCACATGCCCAGCATTGAGATGCCAAAAGTAGACCTCAAGGGACCCCAGATGGACATCAAGGGCCACAGAGTGGACATGAAAGGACCCAAGGGTGAGGTGGGTGATTCCGAGGTGGAGGTGGCACCACCCAACTTGGAGGTGGTTGTCCAGGCTTCCAGCAAAAAGCTGCAGGGTGAAGTGGAGGCCGAAGACAGCAAGTTCAAGATGCCATCCTTTGGGGTGTCCACCACTGACAAGACTCTCAAGGCCTTGCATGAAGCACCCACCCCCAAGCTGGAGGCCAATGTGGACCAACTCGCCATCCAGGGTGAAGTGAAGACCCCTGAGGTCAGCATTCAGCTGCCCTCCACCGACATGGACCTGCAGGCCAGCCAGGGGGGTGTAAAGATGCCCGAGGCAGAGCTGTCCATGGGGGTTCCAGGCCTGAAAGGGCAGCTGCACAAGGTGCACATGCCCAGCATCAAGATGCCCAAAGTGGACCTCAAGGGCCCACAGGTGGACATCAAGGGCCCCAGCATGGACTTGAAAGGAGCCACGGGTGAGGTGAGAGCTCCCGAGGTGGACGTGTCACTGCCCAGCATGCAGGTGGATGTTCAGCCTGCAGGCGGTAAATTTGAGGGGAATTTGGGGGCCAAAGAGAGCAAGTTCAAGATGCCCAAGTTCAAGATGCCCTCCTTCGGCATGTCAGCCCCTGGCAAGACCCTCGAGGCCTCACTGGAAGTATCCAAGCCCAAGCCGGAGGCTGACGTGGACCTGCCTGCCATCGAGGGTGAGGTTGAGACCCCTGAAGTCGGCATTCAGCTCCCCTCCACCAACGTAGATCTGCACCGTGGTCAGGTGGGTGTGAAGCTGCCCAAGGCAGAGCTGTGCACAGGGCATCCAGGCCTCAAAGGGCACCTGCCCAAGGTTCAGATACTCACCATGAAGATTCCTAAAGTGGACCTCAAGGGCCCGCAGGTGGACATCAAGGGCCCCAGAGTGGACTTGAAAGGAGCCAAGGGTGAGGTGGGCGCTCCCGAGGTGGATTTGTCACTGCTCAGCATTCAGACGGATATTCAGGCCTCAGGAGGCAAGCCTGAAGATTTTGGGGCCAAAGAGAGCAAGTTCAAGATGCCAAAGTTCAAGATGCCCTCCTTCACCATGTCTGCCACCGACAAGATCCTCAAGTCCTCCCTGGAGGTCTCCAAACCCAAGCTAGAGCATGACGTGGACCTACCTGCCATCCAGAGTGAAGTGAAGACCACTGAGGTCAGCATTCAGCTACCCTCCACTGACATGGGCTTGCAGGCCAGCCAGGTGAGTGTAAAGATGCCCGAGGCAGAGCTGTCCACAGGGGGTCCAGGCCTGAAAGGGCAGCTGCCCAAGGTGCCCATGCCCAGCATCAAGATGTCTAAAGTGGACCTCAAGGGCCCACAGGTGGACATCAAGGGCCCCAGAGTGGAGTTGAAAGGACCCAAGGGTGAGGTGGGTGATCCTGACCTGGAGGTGTCACTGCCCAGCGCGGGGGTGGACCTCCAGGCTGCCGGCGGCAAGCTGCAGGGTGAAGTGGAGGCTAAAGACAGCAAGTTCAAGATGCCCAAGTTCAAGATGCCCTCATTTGACCTGTCAGAGCCCAGCAAGCCAAGTGAGGCCTCCCTGGAGGTCTCCACACTCAGTCTGGAGGCCGATGTGGAACTACCCGCCATCCAGGGTGACATAAAGACCCCTGAGGTCAGCATTCAGCTGCCCTCCACCAATATGGACCTCCAGGCCAGCCAGGTGGATGTAAAGATACCTGAGGTACAGCTGTCCATGGGGGGTCCAGTCCTCAAAGGGCACCTGCCCAAGGATGAGATGCTGAAAGTGGACCCCAAGGGACTGCAGGTGAACATCAAAGGCCTAAGAGCAGACTTGAAAGGACCGAAGGATGAGGTGGGCGTTCCTGAGCTGGAGGTGTCAATGCCCTGCTTGGAGGTGGACATCCAGGCTGCCAGTGGCAAGCTGGAAGGTGAAGTGGAGGCCAAACACAGCAAGTTCAAGTTGCCCAAGTTCAAGATGCCCTACTCTGGCCAATCACCCCCCGGCAAGTCCCTCGAGGCCTCGCTAGAAGTGTCCACACCCAAGCTGGAGGCCGACATGGTTCTACCCATCATCCAGAGTGAAGTTAAGACCCCTGAGGTCAGCATTCAGCTCCCCTCCACCGATGTAGACCAGCAGAGTGGCCAGGTGGGCATGAAGCTGCCCAAGGCTCAGCTGCCCACTGGGCATTCAGGCCTCAAAGGGCACCTTCCCAAGGTTCAGATACCCACCATGAAGATTCCTAAAGTGGACCTCAAGGGCCCACAGTTGGACATCAAGGGCACCAGAGTGGAACTGAAAGGAGCCAAGGGTGAGGTGGGCACTCCCGAGGTGGACATGTCACTGCCAAGTGCTCAGATGGATGTTCAGGCTGCAGGAGGTAAGCCTGAGGAGCATTTGGAGGCCAAAGACAGCAAGTTCAAGATGTCCAAGTTCAAGATGCCATGCTTTGATGTGTCCACCACTGACAAGACTCTCGAGGCCTCACATGAAGTGTCCATGCCCAAGCTGGAGGCAGATGTGGACCTACCCGCCATCCAGAGTGATGCGAAGACCCCTGAGGTCAGCATTCAGCTCCCCTCCACCGACATGGACCTGCAGGCCAGCCAGGGGGGCGTGAAGGTGCCCAAGGCAGAACTGCCCACCAGGCATCCAGACCTCAAAGGGCAGCTGCCCAATGTGCACATGCCTAGCATCAAGATGTCCAAAGTGGACCTCAAGGGCCTACAGGTGGGCATCAAGAGCCCCAGAGTGGACTTGAAAGGAACCAATGGTGATGTGGGCTCTCCTGAGGTGGATGTGTCACTGCCCAGCATTCAGGTGGATGTTCAGGCAGCAGGCAGCAAGCCTGACGGGGATTTTGGGGCCAAAGAGAGCAAGTTCAAGATGCCCTCCATCAGTATGTTGGCCCCTGGCAAGTCCCTTGAGTCCTTGCTGGAAGTATCCACACCCAAACTGGAGGCCGACGTGGACTTACCAACCATCCAGGGTGATGCAAAAACCCCTGAGGTCAGCATTCAGCTTCCCTCCATGAACATGGACGTGCAGGACAGCCAGGTGGGCATGAAGCTGCCTGAGGCAGAACTGCCCACCGGGCATCCAGGCCTGAAAGGGCAGCTCCCCAAGGTGCACATGCTGAGAATCAAGATGCCTAAAGTGGACCTCAAGGGCCCACAGGTGGACATCAAGGGCCCCAGCGTGGACTTGAAAGGAGCCAACAGTGATGTGGGCGCTCCCGAGGTGGACATGTCACTGCCCAGCGTTCAGGTGGATGTTCAGGCCTCAGGCAGTAAACTTGAGGGTGATTTGGGGTCCAAAGAGAGCAAGTTCAAGATGCCCAATTTCAAGATACCCTCCTTTGGTGTATTGGCACCCAGCAAGTCCCTTGAGTCCTCGCTGGAAGTATCCACACTCAAGTTGGAGGCCGATGTGGACCTACCCGCCATCCAGGGTGATGCAAAGACCCCTGAGGTCAGCATTCAGCTGCCTTCCCATGACATGGACCTCCAGGCCACCCAGCTGAGCATGAAGTTGCCTGAGGCAGAGATGCCCATTGGGCATTCAGGCCTCAAAGGGCACCTTCCCAAGGAGACGATGCCCAAAGTGGACCTCAAGGGCCCACAGGTCGACATCAAAGGCCCCAGAGTGAATTTGAGAGGACCCAAGGGTGACATGAGAGTTCCCAAGCTGGAGGTGTTGCTGCCCACTGTGGAGGCGGACATCGAGTCTGCCGGCGGCAAGCTGGAAGGTGAAGTGGAGGCAGAAGACAGCAAGTTCAAGATGTCCTTCTTTGGCATGTCGGCACCCGAAAATACCATTGAGTCCTCTCTGGAGGTATCCTCGCCCAAGCTGGAGAATGATGTGGACATACCCACCATCGAGGGTGATGTGAAGACTCCTGAGGTCAGCATTCAGTTCCCCTCCACCAACATGGACCTGCAAGCCGGCCAAGTTGGAGTGAAGCTGCCTGAGGCAGAGCTACCCCCTGGCCATCCAGACCTGAAAGGGCAGCTGCCCAAGGTTCAGATGCCCAGCATCAAGATGACTAAAGTGGACCTCAAGGGTCCAGAGGTTGACATCAAGGGCACCAGTGTGGATTTGAAAAGACCCAAGGGTGAGGTGAGAGCTTCTGAGATGGACGTGTCACTGGCAAGAATTGAGGTAGATGTTCAGGCCTCAGGTGGTAAACTTGAGGGAGATTTGGGGGCCAAAGACAGCAGGTTCAAGATGCCCAAGTTCAAGATGCCCTCCTTTGGCCAATCAGCCCCCAGCAAGTCTCTTGAGGCCTCACTGGAAGTTTCCACACCTAAGCTGGTGGCCGACGTGGTCCTACCCACCATCCAGAGTGAATTTAAGACCCCTGAGGTCAACATTCAGCTCCCCTCCACTGACGTAGACCAGCAGAGTGGCCAGGTGGGCATGAAGCTGCCGGAGGCACAGCCTTCTACCAGGCATCCAGGCCTCAAAGGGCACCTGCCCAAGGTTCAGATACCCACCATGAAGATTCCTAAAGTTGATCTCAAGGGCCCACAGTTGGACATCAAGGGCCCCAGAGTGGAATTGAAAGGAGCCAAGGGTGAGGTGGGCACACCCGAGGTAGATGTGTCACTGCCCTGTGTTCAGATGGATGTTCAGGCTGCAGGAGGTAGGCTTGAGGAGCATTTAGCGGGCAAAGACAGCAAGTTCAAGATGCCTAAGATCAAGATGCGGTCCTTTGGGATGTCCACCACTGACAAGACCCTCGAGGCCTTGCATGAAGTGTCCATGCCCAAGCTGGAGGCCAACGTGGACCTACCCGCCATCCAGGGTGATGTGAAGACCCCTGAGGTCAGCCTTGAGCTGCCCTCCACCAACATGGACCTGCAGGCCAGCCAGGGGGGTGTAAAGACGCCTGAGGCAGAGCTGTCCATGGGGGGTCCAGGCCTGAAAGGGCAGCTACACAAAGTGCATGTGCCCGGCATCAAGATGCCCAAAGTGGACCTCAAGGGCCCACAGATGGATGTCAAGGGCCCCAGGGTGGAGATGAAAGGACCCAAGGGTGAGGTGGGTGATCCTGACCTGGAGGTGTCACTGCCCAGCGGAGAGGTGGACATCCAGGCTTCTGGCATCAAGCTAGAAGGTGAAGTGGAGGCCAAAGAGAGCAAGTTGAAGATGCCGAAGTTCAAAATGCCATCCTTTGGCGTTTTGGTGCCTGGCAAGATGCTTGAGTCCTCGCTGGAGGTCTCCACACTCAAGCTGGAGGCAGACATGGACCTACCCTCCATCCAGGGTGAAGTGAAGAACCCTGAAGTCAGCATTCAGCTCCCCTCCACCGACATGGACCTGCAGGCCAGCCAGGGTTGTGTGAAGGTGCCCATGGCAGAACTGCCCACCAGGCATCCAGACCTCAAAGGGCAGCTGCTCAAGGTGCACATGCATAGCATCAAGATGCCCAAAGTGGAACTCAAGGGCCCACAGGTGGACATCAAGAGCCCCAGCTTGGACTTGAAAGGAGCCAAGGGTGATGTGGGCTCTCCTGAGGTGGACGTGTCACTGCCAATCATTCAGGCGGATGTTCAGGCAGCAGGCAGCAAGCTTGAGGGTGATTTTGGTGCCAAAGAGAGCAAGTTCAAGATGCCCAAATACAAGATGCCCTCCATCAGCATGTCGGTCCCCGGCAAGTCCCTTGAGTCCTCTCTGGAAGTATCCACAACCAACCTGGAGGCTGACATGGACCTACCAACCATCCAGGGTGATGCAAAGACCCCTGAGGTCAGCATTCAGCTTCCCTCCACAGACATGGACCTGCAGGACAGCCAGGTGGGCATGAAGCTGCCTGAGTCAGAGCTGTCCACCAGGCATCCAGGCCTGAAAGGGCAACTGCCCAAGGTTCCGATACCCACCATGAAGATTCCTAAAGTAGACCTCAAGGGCCCACAGGTTGACATCAAGGGCCCCAGAGTGGACTTGAAAGGAGCCAAGGGTGATGTGGGTGCTCCCGAGGTGGATGTGTCACTGCCCAGCATTCAGGTGGATGTTCAGGCCTCAGGCGGTAAACTTGAGGGGGATTTGGGGTCCAAAGAGAGCAAGTTCAAGATGCCCAAGTTCAAGATGCCCTCCTTCGGTGTATCGGCCCCTGGCAAGTCCCTTGAGTCCTCCCTGGAAGTATCCACACCCAAGTTGGAGGCCGACGTGGACCTACCCACCATTCAGAGTGACGTGAAGAACCCTGAGATCCACATTCAGCTGCCTTCCCATGACATGGACCTCCAGGCCACTCAGGTGAGCATGAAGTTGCCTGAGGCAGAGCTGTCCACTGGTCATCCAGGCCTCAAAGGGCACCTTCCCAAGGAGGAAATGCCCAAAGTGGACCTCAAGGGCCCGAAGGTCGACATCAAAGGCCCCAGATTGGACTTGAGAGGACTGACAGGTGACGTGGGAATTCCTGAGCTGGAGGTGTCGCTGCCCACTGTGGAGGTGGTCATCGAGGCTGCCGGCGGCAAGCTGGAAGGTGAAGTTGAAGCAAAAGACAGCAAGTTCAAGATGCCCAAGTTTAAGATGCCCTCCTTTGGCATGTCAGCACCTGAAAATGCCATTGAGTCCTCCCTGGACCTATCCTTGCCCAAACTGGAGAATGACATGGACATACCCACCATCGAGGGTGACGGGAAGACTCCTGAGGTCAGCATTCAGCTCCCCTCCACCAACATGGACCTGCAGGATGGCCAAGTGGGTGTGAAGCTGACTGAGGCAGAGCTGCCCCCTGGCCATCCAGACCTGAAAGGGCAGCTGTCCAAGGTTCAGATGCCCAGCATCAAGATGACTAATGTGGACCTCAAGGGCCCAGAAGTTGACATCAAGGGCACCAGTGTGGATTTGAAAAGACCCAAGGGTGAGGTGAGAGCTCCCGAGTTAGATGTGTCACTGGCAAGAATTGAGGTAGATGTTCAGGCCTCAGGCGGTAAACTTGAGGGAGATTTGGGGGCCAAAGACAGCAGGTTCAAGATGCCCAAGTTCAAGATGCCCTCCTTTGGCCAATCAGCCCCCGGCAAGTCTCTTGAGGCCTCACTGGAAGTTTCCACGCCCAAGCTGGAGGCCGACGTGGTCCTACCCACCATCCAGAGTGAAGTTAAGACCCCTGAGGTCAACATTCAGCTCCCCTCCACTGACGTAGACCAGCAGAGTGGCCAGGTGGGCATGAAGCTGCCCAAGGCACAGCTGCCCACCTGGCATCCAGGCCTCAAAGGGCACCTGCCCAAGGTTCAGATACCCACCATGAAGATTCCTAAAGTTGATCTCAAGGGCCCACAGTTGGACATCAAGGGCCCCAGAGTGGAATTGAAAGGAGCCAAGGGTGAGATGGGCACTTCCAAGGTGGACATGTCACTGCCAAGTGTTCAGATGGATGTTCAGACCTCAGGAGGTAAGCCTGAGGAGGATTTGGGGGCCAAAGACAGCAAGTTCAAGATGCTCAATTTCAAGATGCCATCCTTTGGGATGTCCACTGACAAGACCCTCGACAAGACCCTCGAGGCCTTGCATGAAGTGTCCATGCCCAAGCTGGAGGCCAACGTGGACCTACCCGCCATCCAGGGTGATGTGAAGACCCCTGAGGTCAGCATTGAGCTGCCCTCCACCAACATGGACCTGCGGGCCAGCCAAGGGGGTGTAAAGATGCCCAAGGCAGAGCTGTCCATGGGGGGTCCAGGCCTGAAAGGACAGCTGCCCAAGGTGCACATGCCCAGCATCAAGATGCCCAAAGTGGACCTCAAGGGCCCACAGGCGGACATCAAGGGCCCCAGAGTGGAGTTGAGAGGACTCAAGGGTGAGGTGGGTTATCCTGAGCTGGAGGTGTCACTGCTCAGTACAGGGGTGGACATCCAGGCTGCTGGCATCAAGCTAGAAGGTGAAGTGGAGGCCAAAGAGAGCATGTTCAACATGCCCAAGTTCAAGATGCCCTCCTTTGGCATGTCAGCTCCCAAAAATACAATCGAGTCCTCCCTGGAGGTATTCTCGTCCAAGCTGGAGAATGATGTTGACATACCCACCATCCAGAGTGATGTGAAGACTCCTGAGGTCAGCATTCAGCTCCCCTCCACCAACATGAACCTGCAGGCAGGCCAAGTGGGCGTGAAGCTGCCTGAGGCAGAGCTGCCCCTTGGCCATCCAGATCTGAAAGGGCAGATGTCCAAGGTTCAGATGCCCAGCATCAAGAAGACTCAAGTGGACCTCATGGGCCAACAGGTGGACATCAAGGGCACCAGTGTGGATTTGAAAAGACCCAAGGGTGAGGTGAGAGCTCCCGAGATCGATGTGTCACTGCCATGTGTTGAGGTAGATTTTAAGGCCTCAGGAGGTAAACTTGAGGGAGTTTTGGGGGCCAAAGACAGCAGGTTCAAGATGCCCAAGTTCAAGATGCCCTCCTTTGGCCAATCGGCCCCCAGCAAGTCCCTTGAGACCTCGCTGGAAGTTTCCACGCCCAAGCTGGAGGCCGACGTGGTCCTACCCACCATCCAGAGTGAATTTAAGACCCCTGAGGTCAACATTCAGCTCCCCTCCACTGACGTAGACCAGCAGAGTGGCCAGGTGGGCATGAAGCTGCCCGAGGCACAGCTGCCCACCGGGCATCCAGGCCTCAAAGGGCTCCTGCCCAAGGTTCAGATACCCACCATGAAGATTCCTAAAGTGGATCTCAAGGGCCCACAGTTGGACATCAAGGACCCCAGAGTGGAATTGAAAGGAGCCAAGGGTGAGGTGGGCACTCCCGAGGTGGACATGTCACTGCCAAGTGTTCAGATGGATGCTCAGGCTGCAGGAGGTAAGCCTGAGGAGGATTTGGGGGCCAAAGACAGCAAGTTCAAGATGCCCAAGTTCAAGATGCTGTCCTTTGGGGTGTCCACCACTGAGAAGACTCTTGAGGCCTCGCATGAAGTGTCCACGCCCAAGCTGGAGGCCAAGTTGGACCTCCCCACCATCCAGGGTGATGTGAAGACCCCTGAAGTCAGCATTGAGCTGCCCTCCACCGACATGGACATGCAGGCCAGCCAGGGATGTGTAAAGATGCCCCAGGCAGATCTGTCCATTGGGGGTCCAGGCCTGAAAGCGCAGCTGCCCAAGGTGCACATGCCTAGCATCAAGATGCCCAAAGTGGACCTCAAGGGCCCACAGGTGGATGTCAAGGGCCCCAGAGTGGAGATGAAAGGACCCAAGGGTGAGGTGGGTGATCCTGACCTGGAGGTGTCACTGCCCAGCGCAGAGGTGGACATTCAGGCTGCCAGCGTCAAGCTAGAAGGTGAAGTGGAGGCCAAAGAGAGCAAGTTCAAGATTCCCAAGTTCAAGATGCCATCCTTTGGCATGTCAGTGACCGGCAAGATGCTCGAGTCCTCACTGGAGGTCTCCACACCCAAGCTCGAGGCAGACGTGGACGTACCCGCCATCCAGGGTGAAATGAAGACCCCTGAGGTCAGCATTCAGCTGCCTTCCCATGACATGGACCCCCAGGCCTCTCAGGTGGGCATGAAGCTGCCTGAGGCAGAACTGCCCGCCGGGCATCCAGGCCTCAAAGGGAACCTACCCAAGGAGGAGATGTCCAAAATGAACCTCAAGGGCCTGCAGGTCGACATCAAAGGCCCCAGAGTGAACTTGAAAGGACTGAAGGGTGACCTCAGAGTTCCTGAGCTGGAGGTGTCACTGCCCAACGTGGAGGTGGACATCCAGTCTGCTGGCAGCAACCTTGTCGGCGATTTGGAGGCACAAGACAACAAGTTCAAGATGCCCTCCTTTGGCATGTCTGCACTCGGAAAGACCATTGAGTCCTCCCTGGAGGTCTCCTTGCCCAAGCTGGAGGCTGACGTGGACCTACCTGCCATCGAGGGTGACTTGAAGACTTGTGAAGTCAGCATTCAGCTCCCCTCCACCGACAAGAACCTGCAGGCCGGCCAGGTGGGCATGAAGCTTCCTGAGGCAGAGCTGCCCACCGGGCATCCAGGCCTCAAAGAGCACGTGCCCAGGGAGGAGATGCCCAGCATCAAGATGTGTAAAGTGGACCTCAAGGGCCCACAGGTGGACATCAAGGGCCCCAGTGTGGACTTGAAAGGAGCCAAGGGTGATGTGAGAGCTGCTGAGTTGGATGTGTCACTGCTCAGCGTTCAGGCGGATATTCAGGCCTCAGGAGGCAAGCCTGAAGATGTGGGGGCCAAAGACAGCAATTTCAAGATGCCCAAGTTGAAGATGCCCTCCTTCGCCATGTCTGCCACCGGCAAGACCCTCAAGTCCTCCCTGGAGGTCTCCACACCCAAGCTAGAGGCAGAAGTAGACCTACCCACCATCCAAGGTGAAGTTAAGATCCCTGAGGTCAGCATTCAGCTGCCCTCCACTGACATGGACCTGCAGGCCAGCCAGGTGGACATAAAGATGCCTGAGGCAGAGCTGTCCATGGGGGCTCCTGGTGTGAAAGGGCAGCTGCGCAAGGTGCACATGCCTATCATCAAGATGCCCAAAGTAGACCTCAAGGGCCCAAAGGTGGACATCAAGGGCCCCAGCATGGACTTGAAAGGAGCCAAAGGTGATATGGGCGCTCCTGAGTTGGATGTGTCACTGCCCTGCATTCACATGGACATCCAGGCCACAGGCAGCAAGCTTGAGGGAGATTTGGGGGCCAAATACAAGTTCAAGATGCCCCAGTTCAAGATGCCGTCCTTTGGCATGTCTGCACCTGGAAAGACCACCGAGTCTTCCCTGGAGGTCTCCTCGCCTAAGCTGGAAGCTGACGTGTACATACCTGCCATCCAGGGTGAAGTGAAGACCCCTGAGGTCAGCATTCAGCTCCCCTCCACTGACATGGACCTGCAGGGTGGCCAGGTGAGCGTGAAGCTGCCCACTGCAGAGCTGCCCACTGGGCATCCAGGCCTCAAAGGGAAGCTGCCCAAGGTGCACATGCCCAAAATCAAGATGCCCAAAGTGGACCTCAAGGGCCCACAGGTGGACATCAAGGGCCCCAGCATGGACTTGAAAGGAGCCAAGTGTGACATGAGAGCTCCCGAGGTGGATATATCACTGCCCAGCATGAAGATGGATGTTCAGGCCTCAGGCAGTAAACTTGAGGGAGATTTGGAGGCCAAAGACAGCAAGTTCAAGATGCCCAAGTTCAAGATGCCCTCCTTCGACATGTCAGCCCCCAGCAAGACCCTCGAGGCCTCGCTGGAGGTGTCCACACCCAAGCTGGAGGCCCACGTGGTTCTACCCTCCATCCAGAGTGAAGTTAAGATCCCTGAAGTCAGTATTCAGCTCCCCTCCACTGACGTAGACCTGCACAGTGGCCAGGTGGACATGAACCTGCCCAAGACAGAGCTGCCCACCAGGCATCCAGGCCTCAAAGGGCACCTGCCCAAGGTTCAGATACCCACCATGAAGATTCCTAAAGTGGACCTCAAGGGCCCACAGTTGGACATCAAGGGCCCCAGAGTGGACATGAAAGGAGCCAAGGGTGAGGTGGGCACTCCCGAGGTCGACATGTCACTGCCCAGTGTTCAGATGGATGTTCAGACCTCAGGAGGTAAGCCTGAGGGGGATTTGAAGGCAAAAGACAGCAAGTTCAAGATGCCAAAGTTCAAGATGCCCTCCTTTGCCATGTCCACTACTGGCAAGACCCTCGAGTCCTCCTTGGAGATCTCCATACCCAAGCTAGAGCAGGACGTGGACCTACCTGTCATCCAGGGTGAACTGAAGACCCCTGAGGTCAGCATTCAGCTCCCCTACACCGACATGGACCTGCAGGCCAGCCAGGGGGGCGTAAAGATGCCCAAGGCAGAGCTGTCCACGGGGGTTCCAGGCCTGAAAGGGCAGCTGCCCAAGATGCACATGCCTAGCATCAAGTTTCCCCAAGTGGACCTCAAGGGCCCACAGGTGGACATCAAGGGCCCCAGCATGGACTTGAAAGGAGCCAAGGTTGATGTGGGTGCTCCTGGGGTGGACATGTCACTGCCCAGCGTGCAGGTGGATGTTCAGGCTGCAGGCAGCAAGCTTGAGGGGGATTTGGGGGCCAAAGAGAGCAAATTCAAGATGCCCAAGTTCACGATGCCCTCTTTTGGCGTATCAGCACCCAGCAAGTCCTTGCTGGACATATCCACACCCAAGCTGGAGGCCGACATGGACCTACCAACTATCCAGGGTGATGCGAAGACCCCTGAGGTCAGCATTCAGCTGCCTTCCCATGACATGGACCTCCAGGCCGCCCAGCTGAGCATGAAGTTGCCTGCAGCAGAGCTGCCTACTGGGCATCCAGGCCTCAAAGGGCACCTGCCCAAGGAGAAGATGCCCAAAGTGCACCTCAAGGGCCCACAGGTCAACATCAAAGGCCCTAGAGTGGACTTGAGTGGACCCAAGGTTGATGTGGGAGTTCCCGAGATAGAGGTGTCACTGCCCACTGTGGAGGTGGATGTCGAGGCTACCAGTGACAAGCTGGAAGGTGAAGTGGAGGCCAAAGACAGCAAGTTCAAGATGCCCAAATTCAAGATGCCTTCCTTTGGCATGTCCACACCCAGAAAGACCATCGAGTCCTCCCTGGAGGTATCCTTGCCCAAGCTGAAGGCTGACATGGACCTTCCCGCCATCAAGGATGACTTGAAGACCCCTGAGGTCAGCATTCAGCTCCCCTCCACCAACATGGATCTGCAGGCCAGCCAGGTAGGCGTGAAGCTGCCCGAGGCAGAGCTGCCCATTGGGCATCCAGGCCTCAAAGGGCTGCTGCCCAAGGTGCACATGCCCAGAATCAAGATGCCCAAAGTGCACCTCAAGGGCCCACAGGTGGACATCAAGGGCCCCAGCATGGACTTGAAAGGAGCCAAGGGTGATATTGGCGCTCCTGAGTTGGATGTGTCACTTCCCAGTGTTCAGGTGGATGTTCAGACTTCAGGAGGTAAGCCCGAGGAGGATTTGGGGGCCAAAGACAGCAATTTCAAGATGCCTAAGTTCAAGATACCCTCCTTTGGCATGTCGGCCCCTGGCAAGTCCCTTGAGTCCACCTTGGAGGTCTCCACACCCAAGCTTGAGGGAGACGTACACTTACCCACCATCCAGGGTGAAGTGAAGACCCCTGAGGTCAACATTCAGCTGCCCTCCACTGACATGGACCTGCAGGCCAGCCAGGTGGGCTTGAAGATGCCCAAGGCAGAGCTGTCCATGGGGGGTCCAGGCCTGAAAGGGCAGCTGCCCAAGGTGCACATGCCTAGCATCAAGATGCCCAGTGTGGACCTCAAGGGCCCGCAGATGGACATCAAGGGCCCAAGACGGGGCGTGAAAGACACCACGAGTGAGGTGGGTACACACAAGCTGGAGGTCTCACTGTCCACTGCAGAGGTGGACGTCCAGGCTGCCAGCGGCAAGCTGGAGGAGGGTGAAGTGGAGGCCAAAGAGAGCAAGTTCAAGATGCCCAAGTTCAAGATGCCCTCCTTCACCCTGTCTGCAACCAGCAAGACCCTCGAGGCCTCACTGGAAGTGTCCACGCCCAAGCTGGAGGCTGACATGGCCCTGCCTGCCATCCAGGGTGACATGAAGACCACAGATATCGGGGTTTCGCTGCCTGCAGTCAATGTAGACCTGCAGGCAAACCAGTTGTGCGTGAAGCTGCCTGAGGCAGAGCTGCCCACCGAGGGCACAGACCTAAAAGGGCACCTGCCCAAGGTGCATATGCCCAGCATCAAGTTGCCCAGAGTGGACCTCAAGGGCCCACAAGTGGACATCAAAGTCCCCAGTGTAGACTTAAAAGGACCCAAGGGTGAGGTGGGCACACCCGAGCTGGAGGTGTCACTGGCCAGTGCGGAGTTGGATGTCCAGGCTGCCAGTGGCAGGCTGGAGGGTGAGATAGAGGCAAAAGACAGCAAGTTGAAGATGTCTAAGTTCAAGATGCCCTCCTTTGGCATGTTGGCACCTGGCAACACCATCGAGTCCTCCCTGGAGGTCTTCTCACCCAAGCTGGAGGCTGACGTGGACATACCCGCTATCGAGGGTGACGTGAAGACCCCTGAGGTTGGTATTCAGCTTCCCTCCATGAACATGGACCTGCAGGACAGCCAGGTGGGTGTGCAGCTGCCTGAGGCAGAGCTGCCCACTGGGCATCCAGGCCTGAAAGGGCAGCTGCCCAAGGTGCACGTGCCCAGCATCAAGATGCCCAAAGTGGACCTCAAGGGCCCACAAGTGGACATCAAAGTCCCCAGGAGGGACTTGAAAGGATCCAAGGGTGAAGTGAGCACTGCCGAGCTGGAGGAGTCACTGCCCAGTGTGGAGATGGATGTCCAGGCTGCCGCCAGCAAGCTGGAGGGTGAAGTGCGGGCCAAAGAGAGCAAGTTCAAGATGCCCCAGTTCAAGATGCCCTCCTTTGGCATGTCAGCCCCCACCAAGACCCTTGAGGCCTCGCTAGAGGTTTCCATGCCCAAGTTTGAGGCTGACGTGGTCCTGCCAGCCGTTGAGGGTGACATGAAGACCCCTGAGGTCATCATTCAGCTCCCCTCCACTGAGCAGGGTCCTCACACCATTCCCCCTAGCCAGCACTCTTATCCCAAGGGTCCTCTGTCTCCTATGGTTCAGAGTCATGTGACTTTCCCTACATTCCATAGACCACGCTTTGTGGTTTCTATGCCACTCACAGTGGCTCCTGAGGACGACTCTGGCTCCACAGAGCATGGTCCTATCTCACTCCTCAGCCAGGAGCCTAGGCAGGACTGCTCTGCTCCTGCAGCAAAGGTATCCCAGCTGCCATTATCCCAGCCATCACCCACAGCTGTCCCTGTGTCCCTGGTGGTGCCAGAACTCCTGGGCCCTTCTACAGGACGAGCTGCTGCAGGGGGTGCTGAGCAGGAGGGGAGGGGAAGTCCCTCCAAAACTCCTCGCTTCAAGTTGCCATTGTTCAGCTGGTCACCAAAGAAGGAGGCCAGGCCCATGGGGGACAGCATGTGCCTCCTGGAAGACCCCACAGATAGCCTAGCCTTGGGTCTGGATCATGAGGACTCCCATCCTGGGGATCAGGACGCCCAAGTGGAGGCACACATGGCCCTGCCTGCAGAGAAGACAAGTGACTTGGGTAGCACCAGGAAGGCTGGCTTTGCCCTGCGGAGATTGGTCCTTCCCAAGCTAAAGTCGTCCAAAGGCTCAGCTGGCCTGAGGCCACAGGAAGACGAAGACACTGTGCTTTCTAGCAGTACAGCTGCAGGTGACTGTGGAGCCATAGAAAGGGGTGGTAGTGAGGGTAGCATAGGCAGCACAGGTTTTCCTGGAGGACCCCAAGAAGCAAGGGATGTGGCCCTCCAGCTACCACAGACCCCTGCCTCCAGTGTGGGCTCTGTGAAAATGGATCTCAGGTCTTTTCCGGCAGAGCAGGGGGCAAGCCAGTGTGATGTTGATCCTGGGTGTGACTGGGCAATGGGAGGAGGCAGCAAAGGACTTGGGCTCAGGGGCAGCTCAGCCAGAAAGCCCCAGGGGGAAGGGATAGCCCCCACCACAGAAGGCCCCCTGAAGGCACCCTTAGGACACACAGACAGAGTCCCCTCCCTGAACAGCCCAGAGGAGGCCCCCACTACTGGGGAGCCCACAGCCGATTCACAGGAGCGATGGTTCAGAATGCCCAGACTCCGTGTTCCTGGCTTCAGGCGGCTGTCATCTAAGGAGCAAGGCGAGGCCCAGGGACAGGATGTGGCTCAGGTGCACTTGCCTGTGGCCGCTGTACCAGCAGAAGCACCAGCAGCCACTGGTGTCCCAGTGTTCTGTGTCCCTGGATCAGAAGTGGAGGCCAGTGTGTTCCTACAGCCTGTAGACACAGAAGTCACGGTGACAGCTCCTGGGACTGCATCCTATGCAGATGTTCTAAAGCGTGATCGCGACCGCTGGGCCTTGAAACTGCACCCTCCTTCCGTGAAGCTGTCTGGAGGGGACCAGCCCCACTCTAAGGGCCAGGTTTGTGCAGTGGAAGGCTCCCTCCCCTGTCAGAAGCCCATTGGGAGGCCTTCAGAAGCCCAGGCTCCTGCAGCAGAGTGGTGCAAGGTGAAGGACAGAGCAGAGCTGCAGACCTGCCAGCCAGAAGGACCTGTGCCACTGAGGGTGTCCAGCACTGATGTGCCATCCCAGGACTCTGTGCTGGACACACGGCAGCTCTGGGAAGACTCTGTGCTCACCGTCACATTCCCCAAGCTCAGGGTGCCCAGATTCTCTTTCCCAGCCCCGGGTGCAGAGACGGCTATGTTCTTCCCCGTGGTGAAGGACATATGCCAAGAAGAGGTGGGTGCAGACCCAGGACTGGGGCTCTGGGGCTCCAGTATCCTGAGGGCAGGCCCTGGGGACCCTGGGGAGCAGCCTGTGGGCCCCAGCCACCCCTTGGAAGGTTCCCCAGTGTCCACAGTGAAGGTGCACATCCAGGAAGCACAGGCCAAGAGTCTCGAGGTTGTGGTTTGCAGCCCGGTGATGCAAGAGCGAGTACAGTGCCTGGTTCCTGAGGCCTTTTCCACACAGAGAGTGAGGGAATTGGAGATCCCTGCATCCCCTGTACAGATGCCTTCTTATGGATTTTCTCTGCTGAAGCTGAAGACCCCAGGGCCTCCTGCTCAGGCTCCAGGCTCAGGGGCACAGGAGGGGTCTGCCGCACCCAGAGCAGACTCCTGCCCTGAAGACAGTACCCCTGATGCCACAGAGCCATTCGAGGTGATCTCGGGCAGCACCAGCCTCCCGGGGCTGCAGACACTCAGGTCTGACGACCCCGCCAGGCCTCCACCTGCAGGCAGCGGCTCTGACCCTGATGAAGAGCCGGCAGAAATCCTAGAATTTCTGCCTGAGGATAGCGTGGAGGCCTCGGCCCAGCTGGTGGCCGAAGACAAAGCTCCAAAAGGGAGGCCAGAAGGAAAAAAGCCTTCTGGTCTGTTGTGGTCCTGGCTTCCGAACATCGGGTTCTCCCCTGTCAGTGAAACTATCGCTGACTCCAGAGATGACACCCAAAGATCTGTTCCTGTCCTGACCCAGCCGGGGCCTCAGCCAGACCTGGAACCACCCAAGAGGCAGGAGAGGGTGGGCTGGTTCCGGTTTCCCAAATTAGGCTTCTCCTCCTTGCCCACCAAGAAGACCAAAAGCACAGAGGAGGAAGAGGAGGAGGCAGCCCTGGCCGAGCAGAAGCTCCAGGAAGAAAGTGTCACTTTTTTTGATGCCAGGGAAAGCTTCTCACCTGAGGAGGAGGAGGAGGGCCAGCCGGCCATGAGGGCCCCAGGCACCACAGACATGGTGGCGTCCTTGGCAAGAACAGAGTTAATCCTGCTGGAGCCAGATACTCCCGCTGATGAGGAATCTGCACCCAGACCAACAAGCAAATGAAGGCCAGACGGGTGCAGTGTCAGGGCAGCACCCAGGCTGCAGCATGGAGCACCCTGTCCCGGCCCCACATGATACCCTTGATTCACAGGTGAATGAAGCAGAGCTTGGCGAGAACCTCAGCACCTCACATTGCCCAGCTCCCACCAGGCTGTGGAGGCAAAGAAGGCACACTGACTCCTCAAAGGGAAGATCCTGGTGTCCACATGTCTCCTGGCATCCTGCTGTTCCTCCAGGGTGCTCATTCCTGAACCCAGAACCCAGCTGTGTACACCCTGTAGCCTGGCCTGGCTGGAGCTGGCTCAGCGCCCCCTGGAGGCAATAAAGGAAGCAATGCACCCCAGGGGAGAGGCTGCTGAGCTCTTCTGTTCTGGGGCCCAAACTCCCTGTACCCACTTCCCCTTGCACTCCTGGTCCTGGTTGTTGAGGGATCAGTCTAGAAGCCAGAGTCCAGGGTGCATCCCAGAGTGGCTGTCCCTTCTCACTGTGTATCCAGGGACTGGTGGGAGAAGTCACAGCAGGCAGGGAACACAGACACACCCCACCTCCTGCAGCAGGGCGGCTGTGCCGATGGAAGATTTGTGCAGGGCAGGGGCAGCAGAGATTGGGAGCTTGGCTGGGTCCCTGGCCAGGTCTAGGGCTGTGTTCCACAGACGCCCAGGCCACAGTGGCCTCCTGGGCAGCTTCAGGAAGTGAGTCCACCGGGGCTACAGGGAGGTTGGGGGTCTCTACATTGCCCCTGCTGCCTGTGGACACCCTCCAGGCCCATGGCTGAGCTGCTTGTTCTGAGAAGGACAGCTGCTGGGTCCCCAGATGGCCCTGAGAAGGCCCAGAGGAGGCTGGAGAATGCCAGAGCACCAGCTGGGTTTGTCCTCATGCCACTGTGGGCCACCACAGCTTTCTCTGAGGCTGGCTGGGCTACCAAGTCAGGATGAGGAAAGTTCTGGAAAGGGAGAGCCCAGGGCTCTGCCCACCATGAGTGTGGGCCACTGGGGCACATGGCAGGCCTCTGTCCTGTCTTGACGTGGAGTCATCCTGGCACTGCCGGTAGTATTAGAATGTCGGGGTGCCCTGGGGCCTTGGAGGCCCCAGGTCTCTGCGTGAGTCCTCCATGCGGTGTGCTGAGGACTCTCCGGTTCTCTGCCACACAGGCTTCTCCTTGGGACAGCTCACACCATCAAGGCCACCAGGGAGGTGTGGGATACTCCTATGTCAGGTGACACCTGTCCTCTGTGCATTCTGTTGGTGCCCAGTGGGGCTGCATCTCACCTGTGAAACACCCCCCCTTCTCTTGTAACTCAATTCATGCCTTCTGCACCCACCCTCTAGTACTCGAGTGGGTGCTGCCACAGCCTGCCCTGGCACAGCCCTTCACACCAGGTCCAACCCTACATACCTGGGCCACCCCCACGGCTCTGCGCCACTCCCACGGCTCTGCACCACTCATGAAAACTACCCACAGCTCCATGCAGCCCAGCCCAAGAGCGCCCACAAACTCAAAGCCCCGCCCACATATCTAGTCCCACCCATAGCCCTGCCCACAGCCCCAGGACCCCCACACCAGCGCCCACACAATACCCATAAACCCAGAGTCCTGCCCATGCCAACCAGGACCACCTCCCCAGACCCGCCCTCAGCCTGGCTCCACCCCCTGAAGCCCTGCGCATAGCCCCCCAAATAGACCCCAGCTCTGTACATCCTGCCACTCATGGGGGCTGCATGAGTGGGGCCAGCACTCCACCTTTTACTCTTCATCCATGCCTGTGGCATCCATCCCACAGCTCTTGCCCCCCAGTGGCCTGTGAGCTGGAGTTCTGGCTTCAGGCCAGGCACCTGGGGGCTGGGTGGGTGCCCCACAGAGGGTCGCTGGTGCCACCCATCCTCCCACCTGCCCCAGTGTCCTGCAGGCTGGACTGAGTAAGACTCAGTAGGCCCATGGCTGGCCTTCCTCAGTCCGAGTGACCATGGACAGGGACTTCCTGCTGTGCTCACACAGAGGACAGACTCTCATGGGCCCAAATTGCAGCTCTGGAGCTTTAGAGTTGGGGCATCCAGGGCCCCCTGAAGAGGAGGTGCCTGGGACCTGCATCTGTATCACAATGCTCGAGCAGTCGGGACCCAAGAGGACCTGGGCAGGAGGCAGCTGCAGAGCCCCGCTGGACTCTGAAGGAGGGCTGAGACATGCCCAGCGGCTCAGCATGAAGGCAGAGGCAGGTGCGTGCATGCATGACTGAGGCAAGAAAAAGACCATGAGTGCTGCCCTTGACCCAGGCCAGGGCTCCGGACATTAGCATCTCTTATTGGGGCTGTAGCTGGACAGTGTTCACCATGACCCACGAGCTCTGTACTTGGGGACAATGGCCCTTGTGATGGGTCATGGGGACCATTGAGTGCTGGGCCCCTCTCCACACTGTCGCCTTCCTCCCCAGCAACCTATGGGGTGTCCCCAGGCCCACTTGGCCCATGTGATCTGTGACCCCAGAGGTCCAGGTCAGAACTGCCAAATCTGCATTGCAGTTCTCAGGCACAAGTAAAGCTGTTTTGCTTTCACAGCTCTGCACCTGAACTGATGCCCTAGGGGCAGCAGCGTCCACTGAGGGTTATGGGCCCAGAGCCAGGAGGCTGGGCCTTAGCCCTGCCAAACACAGTCCTGGCCCAGGGTGTGTCCGTCAAGGCCCACAGCATAGGAGGAACTCCAGTCCCGCTCAAAGAGTTGCCGCAGCTGCTCCTGCACGGGGGGTGGCCCTGGTTGGGCTCGGGGGGCCTGCTGGTGGACCACTAGGCCCACCCCCGAGGTGCTGCTGAAGTAGTCTTCTGACCAGTTGGAGGTACCTGGGGAGGGGGGAAGGAAACACTGGGTCCCTGGGCACAGGTCCTGCAGCCTTGCCCCTACTGCAGCCACTCCTTGGGTTTGGAAACCCTCAAGAAGGTGCAGGAGGGCCAGCTAGCTCTCCACAAGGAGCGCTCCAGCCATGTCACATCAGGATGGGTGTCCTGACTCAGCCTTCTGGACCCCCGTGCTCAGGATTTCCCCACCCATTCCCCTGAAGCCCGGTGACAAATGGGCTGATCCAGGGTCCCCCAAATGCCTCTGGAGGCCCTATCCACCTTAGCAGCCTCTGCCCAGCACCCACAGGTCCCACAGCCACTCACCGATGTAGGCTGCCCTCTCTGTGACCATGTACTTGCTGTGGTTCACCCGGCTGAAAGGGATGCTGGAGTGATTCCCCACGGGCACAATGAACACTTTCTTCCGGGGCACAGTGAGAGGAACATGTCAGGCCAGGCTGGCAGAGGGAAGTCCACCTTTCCCCCAGACCACCTGAAGCCAGTCCTCACCACGTCCACTGAGATGCCGGCCGTGGGATTGCTGAAGGCCTGAAGTGACCGCAGGTACGGGAATATAGTGGGGTCAGTGTGCAGCCAGCAGCTGACCAGAAGGTGCACATGCACACCCCGGCCCAAGGCTGCCTCCCGCAGAGCATTGTCCAGCACTGGCCAGTACCTGGAGGGGCAAGAGTGCTGCAGGAGGGAGGGAGCTTGCCCAGGGGCTGCCAGTCCTCAGCATGGCCTCCACTTGGCAGGGCACACCTCCAGTCCAGTCCTACCTGGCAGGGTGGCTGAAGCGGGTGGTGGGGAAGTAGTCCATCACCGAGACATAGATGAAGTCCTGTGCACCCTTCATCACTGCCAGCACCGCATCCAGGTCCCGCGTGCGGCCTCGAGGACAGAGCGCAGGTGGCGAAGCCTGTGGAGGGAGTTGTCCTTGCAGGTACCACGCTGGCTCCCACCTTGACCCTGGGTGTCCTGAAGCAGAGGCCCAGCCGCATGCCACCCAAGAGGCCCTGTCTGTGTGTGGGCATGGGGCTGGTGGGCACTGGTGGGGCCTCCTAGTCTCCAAGCTGGGCTGACTGTCCCTCAACTGTCCTGTCCTGGGAAGTTGCCCGTTCCCTCCAGAGTGGAAGCCACGTGTGGGGTGTCCCATTGCAGTGCAGCCTCTGCCCTGGGTCAATCTCAGGCAGCCGAGGCACTGCTTGGTGTGCTCTGATTGGGGCTGTTGGTATCGACTTCCTCCCAAAGAATGAGGCATCTTGATTTGAGGGCCTCCCTGTCCTCTCCTAGGCCTAGCAGCACCTCCCAACCCTCACTCGCCTCGGCAGCCTGTTCCAAGACTCCGATGGACCCTCCACCTTCCTTCTGAATGTCTGTCTCCTGCTGCTGGTACCTGCTGGGACCCTCCTGGAGCTGAGCCCCAGCCCTGCCAGTGCCACCTGCCCCCCTGAAACCACAGCCCCAAGGCTCCTAGGACCAAGCAGCTGCTGCGGGCCCCCAGGGCTGGACCTCTGCAATGCCTCACCGAGAAGTAGGCTGTGGTGAGGAGGCCGCCAAAGAGGCCTCGGAAGGGCCGGAAGCGATTGATGTGGGATGAGAAGTTCCGAGGCCAGGTCTTAGGGATGATGGCGTGGGGCGCCCCCAGCACCCAGTAGGTCTGGAAAGTTTTTTCCAGGTCCTGGGCCAGGCTGCTGCAGTTGTAGATGATGGCGCCCAGCTCCTTCACCTGCAGGACCAGGGCCAGCAGTGGCAGCACTGTCTGTGAGGGTTGGGGTGGGGGCCAAGGCAGGGTGGGGGAGGGCACAGGACCCCATGGGTCCCTGTTGGTTCCACACATTGACTTCCAGGGATCACAGGAACACTTGGTTTTTACCCAAGCAACAGAAAGCATGTAAAGACAAGCAAGGGAAAAAAGGCCATTCGCAACTGTGCTGTGAAGCCATGACCACACTCACCGTGTTCATATTCTTCAACATTTTTTTTCTGGTGCCGGGGTTTGAAACCAGGTTGCACATGTTAAGTGCACGCTCCAGCACTAAGTGCACCCCAGCCCTCTGCCAGGTGCTGAGCTCATTGCTTCCTAAAAACAGGTGCATGCTTTGTGATCTGCGTGTGTCCCAGCGGGTGGGACGTGGGCACCAGGCCATGACCTTGTCCTTGAGTGTCACTCCATGCCACGACTGCAGGGCTGTGTAGAATCTCATAATCAGGGAGCTAGTCTTGGCCACAGGACAACATGACCGCAGGCTCCTCTGTGACCCTGACTTGCTCTGGGAGCATCAGGGAAAGGCCTTGGTAATGGGGCTCCTGGGACTCACCTGTGTCAGGGACCGCCAGTCCATGTTGGCGCTGCCCACATAGACGTGTTGCCCATCCACGACCCAGAACTTGGAATGCAGGACACCTCCGGTGAGCTGCTTCATGGGCACGTGTCGCACCTGGGCACCTGGGGGTGAAGGCAGAGTGGGGATGAGCTCTTGCTTGAGCCAGCTGTGTGCTGTGCCAGACTCTGAGCTCTTGTCCACTGAGCCAACGCAGTTATTTTCAGACCACTGTGCTGTGTGGAGGCTGTTGTGGTCATCCTTCACAAGTGAGGACCGTGAGGCCCTTTAGGAGGTTGTAAGGAGGTTGTGCTGCTGACCCTGCCCACCCTGAGTCTCCCCAGCTTGCAGGCAAGGCCCTGTGGAGAGAGACCCTCTGTGCTGCTCAGCACCCCTCAAGCCCAGCAGAGCCCCTGGAGGAACCTCAGGAACACGTACGTGGTAAACCCTTCCCACTCTGCCCTGCCACTCTGCTGCTCTTTCTCTGTCCCATGGTGCCAACAAGATGGCAGCGGGGCCCAGGTAGCGCAGACACCTACCATGGGCCAACAGCACCTGAAGGTCAGTGGAGTTCCTGGCTGGTGCCGAGCCGCTGGTGGCCACGGCCAGTGAGACATTCCTGGCCAGCACCTGCTGCATCTTCTGTAGAAGGATCTCTCCCTGCAAGGCAGGTGACTGTGAGTGGCAGCTCCTGGGCATCTCTGCCCTAGTGCACTCCTGCCCTTCGCCCTCTGCAGGCCCCTGGCTGCCAACAGCCCAGGGTCAGGCCAGGTGTCCACACAACCCTTGACCAGGTGTGGAACTGCATCCAAGTGGTCACCTTCTCAGAGCCCAGAGGGTTGTGCTCCTGCCCCTGGAGCCCCTGCTGTGCCAGCCCTACTCCATTCCCAGGAGCTCTGGACTGGTGGCTGGGCAGATGGGCAGGGACAGCCTGTAGCCTCAGAGCTGGAGGCAGGAACCAGGGACTCACCGGTCGGGAGGAGGAGTCATTGACCCCGATGTCAGGCCCTGTGAGGGACCAGTAGTAGGAGGCCACATGGATACTCTCCTGGGCGGTGTCCAGCAGCTGCAGCCAGGCGAGGGCCAGGGACTGGGCTGATGGGCTGCCAGCAGCATAAGGCAAGTCCTTGGGGAGGCTCTCAGCAAGGACAAGTCTGCAATGCAGGGGGCCAAGAAGGTGTGTGTGTAACCACAAGGCCATCAGCCAGCCTCCTCTGCCTGCTCCATCCCACTGCCCAGCACGGGGACTATCACCATGCAGTCCTGTGGCCTGAGCCCAGACAAGAGCATGAAGAACAGGCAGCTAAACCAACAGAGAAGGGCAGCGCTGAGCCCCCTGAGCTCTGGAAGTGGTGACGTCAGGAACTCTCCCTTCTGTGGCTGAGCAGAATGGTGAGGTTGTGGGGTACAGGACCCCGTGGCAGGGCAGGAGGGGTAAGAGGAGCTGTGGGACAGCAGCTTGGATAGCAGGACTGCAAAGGTGCCAAGCTCACCCAGCAGTGGATGGTGCTCACCATCCTTGGCCAGATCTCCAGTGGCAGCTCTGGTTTGTACAAGTGGCACCCCAAGTCTGCACCACTCTTAGACCCAACTCTAGGTAGACAGCCCAACTGCCCCCTGACCTGCATCATCCTGCAGGTGCTGGTGAGGGGTGATGCCAGCCAGGGACCCAAGGGTGGATGGCAGACAGCACCCAGCTGAGCCCTGCCCGCCCCACAGCCCACACTCACTCACCGGCAGGAGTCCCTCTGCAGCTGAGCCTCCCTGCCCAGGGCCTCCCAGGACCTGAGGTTCTCTTCCTTGTGGTACAGCTGGCAGCAGGCAGGAGGAGGGGACACTCGCACCAGGAAGTAGGTGACAGTCACAAGGCCCAGCCCTAGTATGGCCAGCAGCCCCAGCACCTACAGGAGATAGTATCAGCAAGGGTCCAGAGGCCCAGCTGGGCTTAGGGTGCTGAGGGAGAGGGCAGAAGGATGCAGAGGGGCCCAGGCCTCCAGCTGGGGCGACTGGCTGTTCTCAGGCCCACCCCCCTGCAGAAGCACACAACCAAGTCTGCAGCGGGCTGGGTGGGCTTGGGGCCCCCGACCACCACCTCGGGGCTGATTTTGTCCTCTCCACTGCAGCCTGGGGAGTTACAAGCTTATGAAAACGTTGAGTTTTAAAAATCATTGCAATTGGGACTTGGGCTAGAACTTGTTCTGACCGCTGAGTCCACAGACCCCTCTCAGGCTCAGGCCTACCGTGCCGACTCTGCCCAGCAGGCTGTGGGGCAACATGGAGCAAGACCACCACCCTGGGGCCTCAGCCGCTCTGCATGGAGGAGTCAGCATCTGTGGGGAGTCGGGGTGCAGGCATCACAGGCAGCTCCGACCCACAGTGTCACCCTTCCCCATGGGGTTCCCCTGCAGCGCATCCTGGGTATGGGCCCAGCCCCCAGCTCCATGCAAAAACCTCAGGCAGGTAACGGCCTGTAGGGCCTCTTGGGGAGCACAGCTGACCCCTCAGTCTCCTGTCCCCTGTCTCAGTTCCTCATGCTAACCAAGACACAGAGTGGTCAGAAAGTACCAGTTCTGCTTTTGTGCTTAGTGCCTTCCCACTGGTGCAAGCAGCCACTTCCCTTTCAGCCTGGCCCTGCTCTGGCCTTTTGGCGGATGCTGTCTGAAAGACTGGGCACTGCTGCTAGGGCCAGGGCTTTCCCTCTGTGGCCAGTGAGGATAGGGCTTGTCTGTCTCCTGAGAAGGTCCTTACCTGGAGCTGGGAGCCAGGACAGCCTTGCCCCGGTGGCCCTGCTACCAGGGTTTTACTACAGAGCAGGGCTCTGGGCATTCTAAGGTCCTCTCCCTGGGCCCGGGGAAAGGCTACCCCTTGACCAGCACAGGCCCTGCTCCCTAGCTGTGATGTGGGGAGACTCCATGTTCTGGGCCTGGGAATTGCCAGAGGCTGAGACCCATGGATCCCTTGGGTGGGTGGTGTGGTCAGGCTGTGACCCAGGCCTGCAGGCCTCTGGGTGTCTCCCATTGCCCTTCCTGTGGAGACGCTGTCTAGGCTTAGCTGGGTGAGCCAGGGACCCCTCTGGGGCAGGGTACTGAGCCTCTCAGGCCCTGGGCTGGCAGCAATGGGACTCTGGGCATCTGAGGTCATGGCCAATGGTGCGAATGATGCTTCTGGTCTGCAGGTGTAGGGCCCAGCTGTCTGTACCAGGGGCAGCCGGCCTGGTTATCAGCTTGCTGGGGACTCAGGTGCCCCAGGAGCCCTGGCTGCATAGGCTGGGTACAGACAGGCACTGCAGGGCACTTTGTGAGCCCTGAGGCTTCTGGGGAGACGGGTTGTGGAGGTACACAGCAACCCCTTCCTACTGGCCCTCTCCCTCCTGGCCCTGGAGGACTGACACCTACCTCTGGGGGACCTGCCCTGGTGTCCGTCCTGGCTCTGGCTGCAGATTGTAGGCCTTTTGCTCTCCCGCAGTACTTGTGCTTCCCCTTTCAGCTTCTTCCTCTTTGCCCTGTGTGCCCACCCCCACTCCAGAGGCAGCTGGAGCCTGGAGGGCGGGGCTGAGCACTGTCACAGCCAGAGAGAACCTGCCGTCCCCTAGAGGGCGCCCCTCTGCCCGGGGCCAGGATGTCAGCCTGACTTCTGGCCAGAGACCCTGCCACAGTGGCCTAACAAGACAGCTCATTTCTCTGGTAGGGTTTAGATCTGGATATTCCCCAGGGCCTCATGGGCTCACGAGCAGGGCTTTGGGGAGGTGACTGGATCATGGGGCTCAGCTGACCACTGTCAGGAGGTAGGGTCTGGTGGGAAGAGGTGGCCACTGAGGTGTGGCCTGGAAGGGTCCATGTCCCTCTGGTGCCTCCCTTTCTGTCTAGATTCCTGTCCACCATGCTGTGAGTAGCTCTTCCACCATGTCCCTGGCCATGCTGCCCTGCCTTGGAAACAGCTGACCACGGACAAACCTCTGTAAGCCATAAATGAATTAAACCTCTCCTTCCTTAAATTGTGGGTGTTGGGTATTGTGTTCCAGCAACAAGAGGAGTAAGACACACCAACAACTAAGACACTAGACGTGGCAGTGGCTCCACAGCCATTGGAAGCTGGTCCTTTCAGCTCTCAGCCTCCAATCTCTAGGATTCCTAGCTTCATGCCCTCACGCTGAAGCTCAGCCATTGATTCCAGGTCCCACAGCCATGATCTAGCACTTCCTCTGGGCTTGGTCACAAGGTCACACCTGACTACGGGGAGGTTGGGTGATAGAGGCAGCCAGGACCTTGTGCTCGAGAATGCAGGTGGGGCTGCTCACTGGCCGCCTGGAGAGCAAACTAGCTGGAGGTACCCAGGAGATGCCCTAGCCCTCAGAGAACAGGGCCTTGGGGGCAGCATCTGCTTCATCCTTGTCACCAGCTGGCCACCAGACTCTGTCCAGGGTGCTGACCTTTGAATGGCCTCAGGGAGGAACAGCTGGTGACCCCAGGTGGTGGCATTCCCAAGGCTATGTCCTGGGACCAAGCGGTTAGGAAAATGAGCTTGACTCTCCACTTCCTGCTGGACACTACTCTGACCTGGCCAGACTCTGTTCTCTGCCCCAGGCCAATTAGACACCTTCACCTTCTGGCCGGTCATAATCACCTGGGTGCTGCCACAAGCTGCGTACATGGGGACTTGGGCTGAGAGGCCCTGGTGACCATAGTAGGAGGCCTGGGCTGCAGCAGTGTGTAAACAGGCTTTATCCCCCGTTTCATAGTTAGTATCAACATGAGAGTTCACCTTAGGGTTATCCACAGTGAAGGATTTCAAGTATCGCCCTATGGGAACTTAGGTTTTTGGTTAGCATTAGGGTTAGGATTGGTGAGCGGGATAGGGAAGGACAGCTGACTGTATGAGGCCAGTGCCTGCTGCCTCCCCCACCGCACCTTAGCCAGGCCTGGGCACGGGGACTCACATCGACAAGGACATAAGCTTGGGGATGTTTGAGGAGGAGTTGGGCCCACAGGGGCTGTGGCTCTGCCTGAGGGGATCCAGCACAGCCCCTTGGTGCAGGGCCTGGCCATGCAGCCAAGATTCTCAGGGCGGTGCCCCAGCTGCCTGACCCTGGGCCTGGGGCCCTTGGTGGTCTCAGGAAGGGGTTAGGGTCTTGGCAGGGTTTTTGGAAAGGGAAATATTATTTTCTTCAATCTCCTCTCTACTTACAAAATGTCTGTGAGGGGAAATAAACACCTCATCGTGTGTCTGCGGGGTAAAGGGCTTTTTCATCCCAAATGAAATCAGCTGACAGCACTCCTGGTTCTCTGGTGGCAGGTCTGGTCAGGGTGCCTGGCGGTGGCCACTTACAGCCGCCCATCAGGGGGCTGCGTCCTGAGAGCTGGTCAGGTGTGTGTGTCGCAGAGCTCCAGCCCACCAGGAGGGCGGCCTGCCCATCCCCGGCCCGCGGCCACCTTGGATTCGGTGGCCGGGGACCAGTGCTGGACTCTGCATGCAGAGGCTTGTACAGGTGTGTAAATGGGATGTGTGTCAGGCCGCTGCTCGTGTGAGAGATGAGTTCAGTGCACTTACAAAAGTTGGAAGAGTGCATTCTAACATATGATGAAGCACAGAATAATAAACACCTAACCCCATGATATGCACATGCACACCTTCAACTTTTTCTTTTATCTTTTGCAGTGCTGGGGATTGAATCCAGGGCTTCATCCCTTGCCCTTTGTTTATTTATGGAGACATGATCTTGCTAAGTCACTAAGTTGCCCAGGCTAAGCTTGAACATGCCCTTCTCCTGCCTCAGCCTCCTGAGCAGCTCCACACCTGGCTTTTCAGCTCCTTTCACCGTCACATACACAGACCCCATGTCGTCATGCTGTGTGTGACTGGACTGTGACACTCACCTTGCACTTGGCCTTCCCCACTTTCCCTGCTGCTTTTCTTCTTACTGCTGAAGCCACTGACTTTTCTTTATTCTCTTTACCTCTCATGTCCAACGGTTTGGATATTATATGTTCTTTTCCCTTGTGCACACAAAATAATACCTAAGACAGATGTGGGGATAGTGATGGTACAACGAGACAAGCACCCAGCATGTGACAGAGGCCCTGACGTGTCCTTGCCCATCACCGCTGTCTCTCTCCCTGCAAAGTGTCACTGAAACTCATGCCATCCATGCCTTTGACTTCGCTCCCCCCGCCCAGCACTGCTGCTGACCTGCTCCCTAGGAACCTGGACCCTTCCAGGTTCTATGAGAATCAGAGAAGTGTGGTGTGATCATAGGTTTTTGTTATTTATCTGTTTGTTTGTTCTGAGACAGGGTTAGGCTGTGTTCAGGCTGGCTTTACTCTTAGGGGAATCCTCCTGCCTCATCCTCTGGAGAGCTGGGATTACAGATGTGGGCCATGCCTACTGTGTTGTTAAATTAAGTGAGCTCATTGGGTTTGTGGAAATGTCCCCCTTTGGGTCCAGAGTGTGGTTTCTTCTAGGCTGACCAAAGCCTTCAAGACAGACAGAAGGACAAGTAGCAGTTGCTATTCACAGCCATAGGCATTGCTTTAGTAAATAAAATAGTTGGATTGATATTACTCTCACCAGCCACGCCCAGGACTCTGGTTCTAGCTCTCTGGAGGGGATGCTTGGAGCTCACTGGCTTTCATTTGCATTTAAGCTGGTGCAAAGTCATGGTGAGCCTCTCCCATCTAGTTACTGGTCCACTTTGATGCCTTCTTGGAAAGTGCCTGTTGGAGTCCTTGGCCTGGCCTTTTCTCAGGTTTGTTACCTGACACAGGATCTTTTGACTCAGAAATGATGGAAATGGGGCCAAGGCACATGTGGCATACACACAGGTGAGGCTGACTGGGCTTCAGCTGGGAGCAGCCAGCACTGACTGAGGAGCTGCTGCCCTCTAAGGAGAGGCAGAAGCAAAGGATGGACTGAAGTCCAGCAACACTCGCTTCAAAAGATGTTTCATGTTGTGCAAGATTCAGCCACTGAATAGCCACAGTCAACTTGTCCCAGGAGTTGATTAGCTCCTTTTGCAGCTGGCAACAGAAGCCTGGCCTCGTGGATAGGTCGGGGTCTTCTGATGGGGCTGAAGGACTCTAGGTGACTGGGCCGCTGTAGGAGTGCAAGGAGCAAGCAAGGGGAAGAGAGGAGAGGGCTGGGTTTAGCACAGTGACAAAGCACTTGCCTAGCATGTATGAGGCCTGGGAGGGAGATTCAGACAGTCACTCACTGACCCCAATAAGCCATTGTGCACAGCTGAGTGTAATCAGACACAAATGAAGACAGGTGTGTGGAGCTTTGCATCTCTATCTGGCCACCCATCAGAAGACCCACTGAAAGGTCAGTGTTCCAGCACAAGTGGCCTTCAGGTCCCCAAGAAGCAACGCAGGCAGCTGTCTCCACAACCCACTCAGAAGTTTCTCCACAGCAGAGCTGGTGGGCATGGGTAACAGACTTCACTGTGCAGCCTTTAATTCTGCGAGAGTTAAACGGGGTCCCTCAGGCTCTCCTTAAAGGGCAGAGTCTGCCCTGGACGGAGGAGTCACTCGCCTGCCATGAGGGTTACCCATGATCACTCCTAGGGGTTCATTCTGCTGTCCCAGCCTGTGTCCAGCCATGGCAGCCTGACTGTCTCAGGTTAGCTTTTTAATTTTTCCTCTGACTTAAAACAGTTATATATTTTGAATATAAATTATTTGTTGGATCTAAGTAGAGCCAATATGTCACCTTCTTCATGGTGTATCTGGATGGACAGAGGTTTCTAGTTTTATGATATATCAATCTATCTTTAAAAAAACTTTTTAAGGTGAATGCTATTTGTTGATTCTGTTTTGTCTTCCACAGTTTGCCGTTGCAGCTTTCACATCTGGATTAGAAGGCAGCTTCTCTTCTCGTCACTGGTCCTGGCATGTAATAAACCTTTTATCTGCCTGCTTTTCAGTTCTTTCCTGCCATGAATTTTAGCAACTTTTGATATGTTGTAGTAATTATTTTCCTTTGTATATTTCTTTAGCAATTGTTGAGTTATTGGATTCACAGGTTTATAGTTTATGGAAACTATTTTGCCATTTTCCCTTTGGGTATTTTTTGTCCTGTCTTTTTTTTTTTTTTTTTTTTTTTTTTTTTTTT